TGGCACTTCCACGTCGATAACAAATCAACATCAACAAAGTAATTGGGTTTTTTTTTAGATAAAGAAAGTTCGGAGCAAATTTAGACTAGACCTAAAAATTAGGGTTTTTATAAATTAAATTTTTTTTGGAGTGAATTTGTTATCGTCCCTGACTTTCGTATCATAGAATGGTTTTATTTTGGAGAATTTCAACAATTTTAATGTGTTTGATTTGTTATCGAAGTGGAAATGTAACGTCGGTATGTACCTATTGCCCCATTACTTTGCTGATGCTGATTTTTTATCGACATGGAAGTGCTACGTCAAGTTGGGACTAGATCACGGGGGTATATTTTTTAAAATAAATTGAAATTTGTTGATTTTTTTTTTTTACACAAAACAAAATCCGGAGCAGATTTTGGACTGGATTTAAAGTTTGGGACTTTTTCTGAGACAAAAAAACGTTTGGGGCAAATTTGAGACTGGACCTAAAGTTTGGGGTTTTTTCTAAGACAAAAAAAATTCGGGGTAGATTTCGGACTTGAGCTAAAGTTTGAGGTATTTTAGGAAATTCACCCAACACGGAGGGGCTGGACTAACTAATATTTTCTCCTAAATAACATAATCCTAAAATTAAAATATTAATTCTACTTTTGGACGTCAGTATTCTGTAGATATCTTTTCTTAAAAGTGGAAAAGACAAACTACTTCTGGAAATCAACTTATTTTAATCTCCCACTTGTACAAACTTACTAACTCATCAGCTGACAATAGTCCTCCCTGTGAAGCGACGAGAGGAAGAAGAATCGCCAAACCGAAACGAGAGAAGAGAAGGAACGATGGCAGTCGATGAGCCTGCATCGTCTGCTTCCATGGCGATGGTGAAGATGGCCTCGACATTGATCCTGGGCATGCTCGGGCTTGTCCTGATGCGTGCGTGCAGAGTGTTCGTATGGGGACCGAGGAGGCTCAGATCAAGGCTTCGGGGGCAAGGAGTGGGGGGACCACCTCCTTGTCATCTTCTTCTCGGAAACATCCCGGACATCAAGAAGATCCGAGCTGAAGAAGCGCAGAGAGCTCGAGAGTGCCGCAAAGATGGCGTCCTCTCTCACGCCTGGCCTTCGCTTCTGTTCCCACACTTGCAAAAATGGCGAACCCAATACGGTACTCTGCTTTTCCTCTGTTTTCTTTCTTGATCTTTCCAAGAAAAAGAGTTTGGGAGTGATTATTTTTCACATGCTTCATTGGCCAATTAGCTTCGTCTCTGTGATTTGCCTGAGCCCAAGTTGCTGGAATTTGTTTTTTCTGGGTCTTGTTTGTCTTTTATTCATCAACTTGTCTCCAGGATTGTTGCTTGGGGTCTGTTTTCGATTGGTGAAAACGTTTGGACTTCTAGCTGAACTCTGGGATTTTGGGTTCGTTGTGGAGCACGAACGGTCAGGATCGTGACATTTGACAGTTTGACAGTCTCGACACTTCTCAATCTGCTATTTCGTTGACTTGGATCCGTAAGGAGGCAATGACACTTTCAGACATTAATGTTCAAGCACTGGACATGTTTTGTGATTATATTTGTGTGGGACAATTTTCTCTTCTTTTTCTTTCTTTTTATTTTGGATGAACAAAATAATGAATCTCGAATGCCAACAGTTGATGCATGTTTCTTTGGGCCCTTTAGGAATTCAGGGAACTTGAACATCCTAATATGCTTGCATTGCCTCAGCTAATATGGTGAAAAATGAAGGAGAACCCTTTCTCAGTGTCAGTTGCAAAGTTGGGTTTTATAGTTTAGCCAACTGACTGTCCTCATTAGAGAAATTCTTCTGCAAGCGTGGTCGATTGCCAGATGCTTGCTGCATAAGTTAGCTATAGTGACCGAATCTCGAAAAGTGTCACGTGACGACATTGTTGCTCATGTGATTGAAAAATTCCCGTTGTCCATAATGCATACTTAATAGAGATATGTGCAAATGAGATACAGAAAAGATATTTCTTGTAAATTGGCGATGATAGATCCTTCTCGCACCACTCAATCTTGAACTGTGTTCCCCATTACGAGAGAGTTTATGTTGGCGTGTTGTTGGCAGGACCCATCTTCATGTATTCAGCCGGGCACATACAGTTCTTGTCGATAAGTGATGTGGAGATGGTGAAGGAACTGACCACGTACACATCGCTGGGCCTTGGAAAGCCTTCCTATCTCTCGAAGGACAGGGGAGCTTTGCTTGGACAGGGCATTCTCTCGTCGAGTGGCTCTACTTGGGCCTACCAGAGGAAGATAATTGCCCCTGAGCTGTATCTCGATAAGGTTAAGGTGATTCTTCCTGCACATTTCTCTTTTTTTGGATCCTTACAGATGAACCTTGGATCGAGTGAATTGGTAGATGTACATACACTTGCCTATTATTTCTGCAAATGCAATTCAAAGTAGCAGTAACAGGAATAGCATACATCTAATGGTGATCTGTGGGATCTTTAACTATACTACTAAAGCTCATGATTGTTATTTAGATGTGTTGTTGCTTCGCTGTGACAATATATTCAAGGTAATGAAGGAGAAGTTATGTGCCGCAATATGGCAGACGGATGTAGTTAATAGTTAGGAAAAAACTTCTTAAGAAATATATGAAGCTGATACAAAAATGTTGCTTTTTGAATTTTATGGAAATCCTAGCTAAAATGTACAGAACTTTGTAGATTAATGAATCATCAATCAGTAGTCGCTCATTTGCCTTGAAATCTTTTTTCTAATTGCTTTTCAAGGGCATGGTGAGCCTCATGGTCGACTCCGCAAACTCGCTGATAGGGTCTTGGGAGAGCCGAATAGAAAGCAGTGGAGGCACGGCGGAAATAAGAATCGATGATGACTTAAGAAGCTTGTCTGCAGACATTATCTCCAGAGCTTGCTTCGGAAGCAGTTACTCCCAAGGGAAGGAAATCTTCTTGAAGCTCAGAGAACTTCAACAGGTCATGTCACATGGAAGCGTTGGAGTAGCTGGAATGAGGTAGAGATCTATCAGAGCTAATCTAATAGAGACTGAAATATCATATAAAGGGTGATGATGAATTCGATCAGTGAGAAATCAAAGTTAGAATTTTATATATCTAAAAAGGTCCGTGTAATTTCATATTCTGAAGTATCTGTGATTTAACTACAGTTCAAAGAAAAAGTATTGGATGATTTTTGCTACTTGTTTATTTGTTTGGGAACTTTCTTGATCAGCTTCACAAGCATATTTGCTCAAATATGCTCAAGTTTTATCTTTGGAACCTTGTATCTACATGGCTCTGTTTGTATTCATCCAACTTCTGTATATGATAGCATAACCCAGTCTAAGCCCCTATGTCTTTAAACATCTCAGATACCTGCCAACCAAAATCAACAGACAAATTTGGCAGTTGGACAAACAGATTCGGTCGACGATACTAGAGGTCGTGAAAGCACGAACGCAGGCTTCACATGAGAAGGACCTCTTACAAGTGATACTCAAGGGTGCCAACAATGAGGGCCTACCATCAAATATCTCCGCCGATAAATTCATCGTGGATAATTGCAAGAACATATACTTTGCTGGCCACGAGACCACTGCTATCACGGCATCTTGGTGCCTGATGCTATTGGCTGCTCATCCTCACTGGCAAGCAAGGGTTCGTGCCGAAGTGCTCGAGATTTTTGGCGGTGGCATTCTGGATTCTGATAAGCTCCGAGGCATGAAAACGGTGAGTCACATTTGTTTATCTTACACTTGCTGCCCGAAACTACAGGGTGTTGGGAGATTCTCTGGGTCTTTGGTTATTTCACTTGCTCGTGCTTTTGGAGATCGTTTACACACAACACCATGCAAACATCTACCAAAATTACCTTTTAAGCTAGGGGTTTATTCTGAATTGATTATTATTCAGAAAACATCTAAGCCTGAAATTTGGATAGTAGGTTTTCATGAAATCATAGTCCTGATGGGTTTCTGAATGGGGGGCATTCCTGTAAGCATTTGAAGCTTCTCTTTTTTCCCTCTGATGTGCGTTTCAAATTCATTTGCAATTTCCTAACAATCTTTATCAACTATTGGCAGCTAACCATGGTAGTTCATGAGACTTTGCGACTCTATCCACCAGCGGTGTTCAGCATAAGAGAAGCCCTAGAGGACATCAAGTTTAAGGGACTTCTGATTCCACAAGGCTCGAACATCCAAATTCCAATCCACATTATGCACCAGCTACCCGAAATATGGGGGACCGATGCTTCAGAGTTTAAGCCAGAGAGATTTGCACAAGGAATCTCTGGAGCCTGTAAATCTGTTCAGGCATACATGCCCTTTGGTATGGGACCTCGGACCTGTGCAGGACAACACTTCGCCCTGGCTGAATTGAAGGTGATCCTGTCGCTCATTCTCGCCGAGTTCTCGTTTTCGCTTTCACCTAGTTATCACCATTCTCCGGCATTTAGGCTGGTTGTTGAACCTGGAGATGGGGTCATCCTCCATATGAGGAAAGTTTGAGAGATTTCAAAGCTTGGTTTTTGTGTCGAAAACAGTATCCTTATCACTTGCAAACATATCCTGGAATTGGTCTCTCTTGGAAATTTAATGTTATGAAATATATTTTTCCAGTTGGCAAAAGCTGCAAAGAAGACATTGATTCACCAACAAATTCCTTGGAAAAACTCAGACTCTGCCTATAGATGGTATTCTCGAATTATGAACGAATTCTGTGAACCCTCTTTGTGACTGCATAAATGAGCATTCCATGCAAAATTTTTGAAACAGGTTGATGATATAGATGCACCCAGTAAAGGCAGTGTTCTGTTCAAAGTCTACTGACTTATTAAAAGAAATTGGCACCAAAATTTCCAGTTCCACCAAGAAGTTCTAAGCTTCGCTTGTTTTCTTCCTTTTTTCTTTTCTTGTCGCCCCATCGGTGGGTGGGTTCATAGACGTCTATGCATTCAACATTCTCCAAATTCTTTAGCAAAAAAGTTAGGCGCAATGTATCACCTCTTCACTGGCCATGCTAAAGATATGTACGAGACAACATCAGAAACTGTGTTCCATTAGTTTTCTCCAACAAGGTTGCTCCTTAGGTTGCAAACCTTGATTCACACAAATCAAGCTGTCAGAAACTCAAGATCTTGATTTTATTAAAACATTGTGCCCAAATTTACAACACTCAATCTTCCGACCTTGAAACAGCCATCTTGTCTCCATCTATCAAAACCGAAATCCTTGAAAACAGTCTTCAAGAGAAGAGGGACCGGTTCTTGTTACGTTCAAGTCGAGCTTCCCTCTATCGAAGCAAACAAAGGCACAACACAATGTTACCAAAGACTACTAATATATACACAAGCAGAACAACAACACTACATTTATATACTTCTACTGGTCCAGATAACTTCTTTAGTTACATCCAGATAGAATATCGATATCCAGGTAAAGGGACAAAAAAAATCGATAGGCATGAAGTCCATATGACTGAAACGCTTAGGTTCAATACCTCTTTTTTCTTGCATTCTTTGTAAACATCGAAATGTTCCTGGCATTTACTCTTGTCACGACTGAACTCTTCTAAACCTGCATTATCAACATATACAGTTTATATTGCAATGTTATAGGTCTCAACTGAGAAGGGACAGTCAAAGGAATGTGCATATGGACATTTCCAGGTTGGGAGAAGGCAATGAAAGAACCAACTAAAAGCCAGTCATTTTGTGTATAACATGAAAGTCCGTCATATAAATACTGTAAATTACAAAACAAGAGCCCTGACACTTTGTTAGGGATCGATGGTCGGTGCACATTACTTTTGTAAATCAAAGCAATCAAGTTCAAACATCACGTCAGCCCTTTCGATCTACAAGCATAAGTAATGGATCACACACATCTGTACATCTATTCAGTCATTAATTCGCCTCAACTCCACGCAAGCCTCATAAACCTCAACTTTTTAGCATATTTGTTGCAGGCAGTACACGTTATGATATGCACGAAAGCATTCTGGGTAATGCACCAGGAACCAATGCTTTTCTTCCCCCCTCCTCTAGTCAACGGATTGCAGTTTATCCAAAGGTCTCTTGTGTCTAAGAAACGCAAAAACGATCCTGCTATTACTAAACTTGGGCAGCTGCTTAAACCCTAATCAAAGTCCACCAAAACACTTAAACCTCCTCTGATCAACATTCTCCACTGACATGAACGATCTATTCCTGACCAATTCCAGGACATCCAGCATCGAAAGCTCTCCCAATACTTCCTCAAAAAGGGTAAAAAAAAAGCAGTTCCTATATATCATCAGTTCTTCTCTCCGTATCATTGAAGGGTCACTACCCAGCAGCCTGCTCGAATAAGGCCGCAAATACCTAGGAGGGGCAGCAATTGTGAGGGCTTAAGCAATTTACACCGATCATCATCGTAGTAATCTGAATCTAAACAAGCAATTCCTTTCCCCAAATCTCTGGTCATTATGGAAATTTCCTAACACACAACACCCTCTTATTGACTCCCTACCCACAATCCGGAACAATCAGAGAAAACTAATCGATAACTCAATAGTCGCCCCACCATCATCCCTCGGGATTGATCCTAAACATCATGCCATTGCCATCCCAGAACTAAATCCCGAGCCCTTCTTCGCAATACCCCGAATCGACCCACACACACGGTGAGCCGCCACCCTCTTCGGCTTCGCCGAGCAACCAGCCATACAGACAAACCCTAACGCCGAAACGCCAACCGAACTCTAGACGGCGGACGAAAAAGGAGCTCGCGGGCAGATTTGAATTGGGAGATCGGGCTTGAGAATGCACGACCCGATGGTTCAGGAAGGTGGACGAGAAGGGGTAGGGTGGAGTTTCACGGCGGCGGAGGAAGCTTACACTTGAGGGAGGCGGCGTACTGAGGGTAGCAAGGGGAATCGGCGATCCTCGCGGCGCTTGCGTACGGCGGCGTTGAAGCTCGCGACGCCATTTCTGGGACCTCTCGCCTTTCTTTTTCCTTATCTCTTTAGTTTTGCCTACAGCCACCGGGACAAAGCCACTGACCACCCTTTCTACGTGGGAAGAGAGACGTGAGGAGTTCGAATTTTCATCTCTCAGAGGGGTTTGGAACAGGGACGTGTAGTTTCAGATATGAATTTCGATTTTCACGTTCTGTAAGAGGCATGATAAAAGTCTGAGAGTAAATTAAGAGTTAGAGTAGGACAGACAAAAAAAAAAGTTTTGCCTACGTACGTAAATAAATGGGAAAATGACATAAACAGTGCGAACTTTGATCTAATATATAACGTGATTCCTAAACTTTTAATTTGTTCAATGTGATATATGAACTTTAACCTAATATTCTATGTGGTCATTAAACTTTTAATTTGTTCAATGTGGTCTTTGGACTTTTAGTACATGTTCAATTCAGTCCTTAAATATTGAATATTTTCATATAGTTCAGGGATTACACTGAGCATGTACCAAAAGTCCATGGACCATATTTAACAAATTAAAAGTTCAAACATTAAATTAAAGTTCAGGGGCTACATTGAACAAATTAAAAGTTCATGGACCGCATTACACATTGAGTCAAAGTTCATGAACTTTTTGTGTCATTATTCCCTAAATGAATTGGTGACAAGTTCGTCAAATAATAATTTTTTTTCAAAGAATATTTGAACTCATTTCTCCCTTTCGTATCTTCTCTCTATGCAATAAAAGAAGAGAAAATGCATAAATGGTCCTTGAATTTGTCCCAATGTGCAATGTGATCCCTAAACTTGATCGATATGGTACCTGAATTTTAGCCAAATATGAAATGTTTTCTCTAAACTTTTAAATTGTTCAATGTGGTTCTTGAACTTTTTGTATATGTTCAATTTAGTTCTCAACTATATAAAAATGTTCAATATTGTTGTTCCATTAGTTCAAGCTTAGGGACAATATTGAATAAAAATGTTCAATATTGTTGTTCCATTAGTTCAAGCTTAGGGACAATATTGAATATTTTCATATAGTTCACAGACTAAATTGAACATGTATCAAAAGTTTAGGGACCACATTGAACAAATTAAAAGTTCAGGGACGACATTGCACATTAAAGCAAAGTTTATGTACTACATTGAATAAATAAAAAGTTAAGGGACCACATTGCACATTGGGCAAAAATTGAGAGACCACTTATGTCTCTAAATTCATAAAGTCAAATTCTGACCTGAAAATTCCATGAAACCCGAAGCATGATAGGAGATTCTAAAGACAACACTATATTATAATTTAATGGACAAAATTTAAATTTGAAAATTATGAAAATAATCGTCATATAATCTCCTAAATATCTCTCATCTCGAATTTGGACTCTGTTTGTTTCGCGAAAAATGAATGAAGTGAATGATATTTTCCAAAAAATGATCACTTGTATAACTTATAAAAATGAATTAATGAGAAATATTTTCTTCGTCCACTAAAATATTTAAAAATAAATTATTATCGATTATAAAAATATTTTCTATTAATTATCCATTTCAAATCATAGAAGTGATCATAATATTTTTTAATTAATTTATTTTCCGCGAAACATATCAGCATTGAATTCGAATTTTTCTCCTTTTACAACCTTTAGAATTTTGTTGATGTCCTTTTCACATGCATGTGCACGAGATTTTTTGCCAGCATCAAAAAGTAAACTCAAAAAGCAGACTCGACGCTCTTCGATTTCAAACTTCATCCAAAAAGTGGATACGGATGTGCATCCTACTATTGAGATAAGTTATAGTAAATGGAACTTATCATACTTCAAGTTCAAATAGTCAAGATAATAGTCAAATAATAGTACAAAAAGGCAAATCAAATTTCAATATAGATGTTGTCGTGTCATGACCATTCCAATTCTTCTCCTTAAAAATATCGTATCTAATAATTAAATCTTGTTATGATTCGTGCTATCTCATGAGAAATTACAAGAATGTAATTTCTTTTATATTTTGTGAACAAGAAACAAAATAATCGTGTTTTGATTATACAAATGAATATTGATATGTTATATAATTAAATGACTAAAGAAAAGACATGAAATAAGTTTAGCATTGAAGTACTTTTACTTGGTACAATGCGACGTGTTTTTTTATACGTGCATTATTCGGTTTACTTCAAAATAAAGAGTACGTTTCCGTAAGTTCAGCTAACGTTTGGGAAACGAAAGTTTTAGAGAAAATTACGTATGTACGTGTTTTTATATAAAAGTACGAATATTTTACTAGCGGAGGTCATGCTAATTAAATATTCGAGTTGTTAGTTGTACATGGTAATTTCATATCCCAAAACTATTCCCGCTGTTAATGAATATTCTATAAACACATTGTTGACATTTTTCTTAAGAGTTTAACCTTTTGAGAAAAACAGTTTTGTCTAGCTTGATGTTAACCATAATACAACTAATCATGAATCTGTATCATGCAAGTTTGGCCACAAAGGCGCAATTTATTGCATGCTTCTCAACGTTCTTTTCACAATTTTGAGGAACAGTGTTAGGAGAGTCCTAAATCTATTGCATTGATATCAATTTAGTTATAATTTTTTTTGTGCCAATTTAATCATAAATATTTTGATATATTGCCAATTCAGTCATTCCGATTAATTTTGGATGGATGAACTCGGCCATGCGCAGGTGGGTTAATTATAATTTTTTTTGTGCCAATTTAATCATAAACATTTTGATATAGTGCCAATTCAGTCATTCCGATTAATTTTGAACGGATGCGCGTGGATGTCGCCAACGTTTTGTCTAACGTATTTTTAATAATATTTTAATATTTTTTGAATTTTTATTTATTTATTTTCTTTTCTTTTCCTCCCCTCCCTTCTTCCTCCAGCCGGTCGTCGAGGTAGCCGAACCTCGGCGATTGGCCAAAGGCCTAGGCCGCGAGGCTCGAGCACTTGCCAACGGCTAGGTGAGGCTCGACCTCGCCCGTGGCTAGCGAGGGCGAGCCTTGCCCAGCCCATCGCAAGGTTGCCATTGCAGCCATCCGGTGAGGTCCCTCATCATCCCTGGCCTCTGGCCAGTTACCGAGGTCTGACCACCGGCTGGAGGAAGAAGGGAGGGGAGAAAAAAAAAAGAAAAAGAAAGAAAAGAAAAAATATAAAAAAGGAAAATATTAAAATAAATTTGAAAAATATTAAAATATTATTTAAAGTTGTCCATATCAGCGCTAACTGAGCCACATAGGCCAGCCAGCGTTCATGTCAGCAATATCGGGTCAAAATTAGCTGAAAGTAAATTGGCAATATATCAAAATATTTTGGACTAAATTGATACAAAAAAATATGTAAAACTAAATTGGCACAAATGTAATACGTTTAAGATTTGTCTTACACTTTTCTCCACAATTGTGTGGCAAAGGTTGATCGAACCGTGCTTGTGTTCACCATTTTGTTATTACATCTTGACATCATTTATTTTTTTTTAGTCAAATTGACATTGTTTATTGAAAAAGCTAATTTTGACCGCACTAACTTTCAAACGGGCTCGCGGCACTGTCTACCAAAAATTCCTATACATTTGGAGTGATTCCTAGTCATATTTCCAAACTCAAATTATAGAGATTTCATCGTTACATCCTATATTCTACAATATCATTCAAATATTTAGGATGTTACATTCACCTTGTACAAAGTCTGGCTATTTTCTAGAGTCATGACATTCTATATTTTTATAGGATCTTGTCTTAATATAGTTTGGACCTATAAATAGACCATCCTTTGTAACAACTGAAGTCAAGCAACTCAATATGATTAACCATTACTTTTCATATTTATTTTTTAACTCGGTATCAAGCAAAGGTCAAGGATTTAAATCCGATCACGCCCTCTCAAATGCATTGCTCGTGACATTGGATTCACAACTTGCTCACACGATACGAGAGTAGTGCCCGTTAACATACAGAGTCGAGTCTTGCTCGTGTAAAAAAATCAAGTTACATGCGACGAGAGTGTTAACAAAAATGTCATGATTGTATTGTTGACACAATTCTTACCTATTTAAACTTTTGGGAAAAACGATAACCGAACTTATAATTGGGGAGGCAACCAAGGGCATGTTTGCTTCAGTGAAAGAATTTTTCGTGAATTAGTTTTCCCGATTTTTCACGTGTCTGATTTGTTGAAAATGATTAGTCAATGCAAAATCATTTGCGATCAAAGGAAAAATCCATGCTTAAAATAAGGATAATGAATTCCCTAATTTGAAAAAGGAGAGAATATTTTTTCTTGAAAATGAAGTTTTCCTCCAAACAAACATACCCTTAAGAGGGGCTTAAAAATATTTGAACTCAGGATCTCCGATGATATACCACGTAAAGTTTCCTTGGAGAGTTAATTCCCTAAAAAATTCCCAACTTTAGGTCAAGTCCCAAATCTCCTTCAAACTTTTTTTTGTCTTAGAAAAAATCTCAAACTTTAGGGCCAGTCCAAAATCTATCCCAATTTTAACTTTAAGTCCAATCCCAAATCTGCCCCAAATTTTATTTTGTGTAAAAAAATCACCAAATTTCAATCTATTTTAAAAAAATCCACCCTCGTGATCCAGTCCCAACTTGACGTGGCATTTCCATGTTGATAACAAATCCACACTCAGCAAAGTAATGGGGCTTTTTTTAGACAAAGAAAAGTCCGAGACAAATTTGGACTCAACCTAAGTTTGGGATTTTTTTTAGACCAAAAAAGTTTTTTAGGGTGGATTTGTTATCGTCCCAAACTTTCATATCCTAGAATGGTTTTATTTTTGAAATTTTCAACAATTTTTATTGGGTCGGATTTGTTATAAAAGTGGAAATGCGACGTCGGTCCGTACCTATCGCCCCATTACTTTGCTGATGTGGATTGTTATCGATGTGGAAATGACATGTCAAGTCTGGATTGGATCACGGGGGTGGATTTTTGTAAACAGATTGAAATTGGTGATTTTTTTTTACAAAAAACAAAATTCGGGGCAAATTTGGGACTTGGCTTAAAGTTTATGGTTTTTTTTAGACAAAAAAAAAAGTTCAAGGCAGATTTGGGATTGGACCTAAAGTTTGGGATTTTTTCTGAGATAAAAAAGTTCGGGGCAAATTTGAGACTTGACTTAAAGTTTGGGGTTTTTTAGGGAATTAGGCCACTAATTTGTCTTACGCGGCCACATCAACATATGCTAAGTACTTCCATATATGCTATAAGTATGCACCTTGAGATGGACATCCTTGAAACTTAATATGATTCTTTTGATGTAGTGGTGAATCCTCAAATCTCAAGGTGAGGAAAGTACCAAAATAGACCTACTTGCATTTGTATTAATTCAGTCATAAATCTTTTAATTGTATTAATTTAATCCTAAATCTTTTCACATTTTACCAATTGAGTCCATTCGGCTAATTTTGGCCAAAAATCGCTGACGTAGACGACGGCGACATGAACATTTTTAATAATTTTATTATTTTTTGTTCCTTTCCTTTTTTTTTTTTTATTTTGGCCAGTGAGGGTTGCCGGCAAGCCCTCGCTGGCCGTTGGCGAGGTTTGCGACCCTTGCTAGATCTGGGTCAGGACCATCTAGCCTAGAGTTAGCGACCGGGAATCGCCAGGACCGGGCCGGACCGGCCGATTTGATCCGGTTCCTGGGAGTGTCGGCCCGGTTCTAGTTCCTAAAAGTCGAATCGGTGTCTAGGCGGACTAATTCCCGGTTCCAAGGGGGAACTAGACCGACTATATATATTTTAATTTTTCTAAAAAAAATAGTAAAATGTGAACTAAATCTTAAGTGAACTTCATCGACATAAATTCAATAACAAAAATTAGTAAAATGTGAACTAAACCCTAAGTGTTTGACAAAAAACTAAATCCTAAGTGATCGGTTCCATTGGACCGGTTTGGTCCCCGGTTCCCGGTTCCACCTTGGAACTGGACTGGACCGGGAATTGATCACCATTGGCAGGGCCGCGAAGGCCCTAGGCTAGGCCATCGCGGCCGACAAGGTTACGAAAGCCCTAGGGGAGGGCCTTCAAGCCCTTGCCCAAGGCCATCGCGGCCTCACCGACCGCTAGTGAGATCGCAAAGGCCCTTGTCCAGGGCCTTCTCAACCCCATCAGTGACCCTCGCCAGCCAAAATGAAAGGAAAAAAAAGGAATAAATAATTCAAAATTTAATTTTTTTTTAAATTATAAAAATTGTCCACGTGAGCGCTAGCTATACGACATAGGATGGTTAGCATCCACGTTAACGATTTCTAATCAAAATTGGCCGGATGGACTCAATTAACAAAACGTAAAAATGTTTATGATTAAATTGACCAAATTGAAAGGTTTATGAATGAATTGGCACTAATACAATAGGATTAGGACTTTCTTTTTTCATACTTTTCCCCCTCAATTGGCCTTAGGTCATTGATTACGTGATCCGACTTTCATGTTGTCGCCCAAACACGCGGTAGCAAACTCCTGGAATCAATATAAAACGAGTACGCGGGCTAGGAATGCTTACACTAGCGGAAATTCTTGGGATTATCTAATGGGTTTATCGTCTAATCTTGTCTCTCATTACAGCCTAAACAAGGCAAATTCCAGCAACATGTGATTGAACCTAAATGTGACAGCCATAGTGCCATTAACTAATTCCTGTTTGACTTCCGTGAAATCGACCCGTTGTCACTAATTAATTCCTGTTTGACTTCTGTGAATTCGACCTCAATGTAGCACGGTTGTTCCACCTAGTTTTAAATCTCTCCATCCTAGGCAGGAAATTTTTTTTTTTCTCGTGTTCGCGACTTAATAATCCCGAAATTCGGCTGCGAATTAGCCATCTTGATGAACATCCGAAGACCCATGATAGCGAGTGAAAACTACGATTACTGAGTCTGCTTCATCAGGAATGGCGACAGCTGAAAAAAACTCAACAAGGTCAGAACTCAGTTGTTCGATCTACTATTTTTCTGACTTTTAACTTGTCGATCATCACGCGTTCCGTAATTCCAATAACTCGGTTTTCGCTGATGTGCTTTTCAGATATGCAGTTGTGACAGGTGCTAATAAGGGAATTGGACTGGAGATATGTAGGCAATTAGATTCGAAAGGAATCGAGGTGATATTAACAGCTAGAGACGAGCAACGGGGCCTTCGAGCCGTCAAAAGCCTTGAAGAATCCGGGATTTCTGTAATCTTCCATCAACTCGACGTGACTTATGCTGACAGTATTGCCCGTTTGGCGGAATTCATCGAGACTACCTATGGAAAGCTTGATATTTTAGTGAGAGATCTATCTTGCCAATGGAATTCTTTGAGAAGTATTCGATGAATGATCTCTCTGGTCTTCGCGCATAATCTTCGTGGGTTCTGTTCGCTTCTGTAGTTAAATAATGCAGGCGTAGGAGGTGTTATTGTGGACTGGGAGACATTCAATACCATGTCATACGAGAATGGCAGAGTATGTCCTCTTATTAGAACCCTCTTTCTTCTGTATGGTCTGAATACACGTAAAGTTATTTTTTCAGATCAATGTTGTGAATTCAGTGCCTGAATTTCGCGAAAAAATGTAGATCAAAGCCAACGCCGCTGAGCTGTTGTCAGAGCTGACGAAGCAAACTTATGAGATGGGCGAGGAATGTGCAAAAACAGTCTATTTTGGCACAAAAAACGTTACAGAGGCACTCCTTCCGCTGCTTCTTCAGTCGAATTCTGGAAGAATTGTGAATGTATCTGCATCAATTGGGAAGCTCCAGGTTACTTCTTGTTTGTAGGTTAGAGTTGAACATGATATGTTCAGCTTAGTGCCTCCGTAGGTACAAGTACTCATGAGGAAACTCTGTCGGTAGTTCTGATGCAGATGCTTTCAGTCGCTAAAACAAAAGATAGCTTGAGATGAGATCGTAAAGTTTATAGGTGTATAACTGTTCTAACTGGAGTTTATAATGGTCAAATCACCTGTCACATGGTCATTCTATCTAATGTCATTTACACATGCAAAACTGTGCATTTGTCTGCATCTTCTGTCTGGCCATTGGAATGTCTTATTCATTGAACTTGTGCTGTCTGATATCTTTCTTAGTATACAACCTTGGTATTATTTTGTTCAATTTGCTGTGCCTTTTTTTGTTCCTGGTCCAGCATTTCAAGAACGAAAAGGCGAAAAAGGAGCTGACCGATATCGAGACCCTCAAGAAGGAAAGGCTAGACGAAATGTTGAGCGAGTTCCTGAGAGATTTCAAGGAAGACAAGTTGGCAGCAGAAGGGTGGCCTACTCATCTATCGGCGTACACGGTCTCTAAAGCCGCGGTCAATGCTTACGCTAGACTTCTTGCCGAGGAACATCCCTGGCTCCGCGTCAATTGCGTGTGCCCTGGTTTCGTGAAGACCGATAGTAACGGCAACAATGGAGTCTGCCCGGTCGAGGACGGAGCGAGAGGGCCCGTGATGTTGGCTTTGCTGCCTGATGATGGGCCTTCAGGACGCTTCTTTGCCGGGACGGAGGCCTCAGGATTTTGACCCAAGTCTTCTGCAGTACGGCCTTAAATGAAACTTGTTCTTTCTTTCCCACGTGAATCTTGTTCACATGGTACTCAGTTCGAAAAACGTACGCATTGACTGCGAAAAAGAAGGAAATCAGTGTAAGATAAATAAGTCGATAGTCTCCATCACGTGAAGTTTGTGACTGAGAAACAACAAAAGCATGGAAATCTGAGAATTGGTTTTGTAATTTTTCTTTCTGAAGAGGCAATTGTGAGGACCTAAAGTTCTGTGGATCAATGAGATTGCCTCATAATTTATGGGACAAAAAGTGGAGAAGAACAGATGACCTAACATGCCAATTCCAAAAGAGTCATCGACTTTTAGAATCGCTATGCCAGAGTTATGTATGTTTACTAGACGACGTGAAACTATGTTCTTGTTTAGAACTCGTTTTGTAATGCTAGCTTAATAGAATGGCATACTTATGCTAGGTCTTGATGCAAGCAAAATATATGGATCGGCCCAGGATAAGATTACCTATGGCAAATTGTCATTGATTATTTTGAAGTTAGAATTGCACGTACATATCAAATTATTTGAATTTGCATAAAAATGTTCGTCGAAACTTACGAAATTCGCCACTTAGAAGATAGAAGCCAGATAGCACAAGCCAGGGCTGTGAACAATTGTTGATCTTCAATAAGTTAATATCAAGGCTTCTAGATCACATACAATTATCCAGTTTTAAAGATGTACCAAATTTTTTTTGAATTTCTTTGACACTTTTTTTTTCTTTCTTTACTTTTCTATAGAAATGATTAATCTCCTTCTTTTTTTCCTTTTCCAAAACTTTTGCCTCCTTGACAACTCAAATTAAAGTGCATGACACACCCTCAGCAAAAAGCTGCAAAAAATCTCACCTTTCTGTTCCTTGCCGTCCCTCTCTTTTCTACAGTTCATTTTTACTCTGCCTTTTCTACTCGGCACAAAATCTTGACTTCCCTGAAGAAGCCCACAGATTATACATTGAAGAGAGAGAGAGAAATTCACCTTCTTCTTCTTCTTCTTCTTCATTGTGGGGTTACACAATGAGCAGTGCAGCAACTGTCACAGGCAAAGCAGGAGCAACAGCATCAGAGACCAAGTTCATCAAGTGTGTCACTGTTGGTGATGGTGCTGTAGGCAAGACTTGCCTCCTCATCTCCTACACCAGCAACACTTTCCCCACTGTACCTCTCTCTCTCTCTCTCTGCTTTAGCTTGGTCCAGTAGACTTCTGTTAATCCTGGTTCAAGTGCATTTAGCTCGTGTTTCACTTCATCTTCTCTCTTGTTTCATGTGAGTTATGAGTTAGAATAATTGAGGGTTTTCGTCCCTTTTGTGGGCAGGATTACGTTCCGACTGTTTTTGATAACTTCAGTGCCAATGTCCTGGTTGATGGGCAGACTGTGAATTTGGGTCTCTGGGACACTGCTGGTTCTCTCTCTCTCTCTCTCTCTCTCTCTCTCTCTCTCATAATTATGTTATTTGTGAAATCTGATGGGTGATTGCAATCTTGGTCATTGTTGCTCTTTGTAACTCAACTATACTTCATCAATGGGGGTCTCCGTGCGAGCCCTTCATTCATTCGACATTCTCTGGTATGAACCTGAGCTCCTTTTGGAAGGACTTCAAACATGTTTTAGTTGGATTTTGGTTTTAAAAATGACATGATCGTCGAGAGTGCCTGAACTTTTACTTGTCATTTAAGATTAAAGAGCATGCTGATTTCAGGCACCCTTTACCCAGTGGCTCCCCTTCATCATTTCTAACCAGAGCATGGAATTTAGGGAGGTTATTTATCGCAATGTGCTGTTTGCCCACAAGTACTAAACAATTTAAGTGCATCATTCAAATTAAAGCCTTCTTTTCAAGTAAAATAACTGCTTAACATGCCTATTGGTACGAAGAATCCTTCTTATGATCATGCTTCCCCTGTCTCATGGGGTGTCTGAAAAGCGTACTAGCTTACCAACAATTCTATCTATCTTTTCGATGGAACTAGATTATCTGGGTGAATCTAAAGATTCAAACTTTATCCCATTTCAGAAGCTGGTGGTATTCAAACCAAGATGATGTCTTTTTTGGAGTAATTTGTGTGTCAATGTTACTTTGTTGTAATGATGATGAATTAACCCAAGATAGTGGATGGAAGATAATTTTGCATGTGCACTTCATCATGACTCACTAAGCTTTCTTGCTTTATTTGAGAGTTAATCATTGCAGGAAATACACTTAGTTTGATTAATGGGCAAAGTGGTTGCTCATATATTTGAATAATGTCCTTAAAGTAGCTCTCAAAAGCGACTGGATTGTGTGAAAGTTCCTTAATATTCAAGTTTTCTATTCAGGCCAAGAAGACTATAACAGGCTGAGACCTTTGAGTTACAGAGGAGCGGATGTCTTCATCCTTGCTTTTTCCCTCATCAGTAGGCCAAGTTTCGAGAACATTGCCAAGAAAGTAAATGATGCCTCTTTTCTCTTTAACTTTAATCAATTCTTTAGAAACTTTTTTTGACTTTCTGTTGACTAATTTTTTTTCCCTACTTTCTCATTCTTTGTTGCTGTCTTTCTTCTTCTTTTTCTTTCTGCACATCTTTATTTTGGAGAAGTGGGTTCCAGAGTTGAGACATTATGCTCCGTCAACTCCAATTGTTCTTGTTGGGACCAAACTAGGTAAGATGTTATTTCTTTTCTTCTTTGATATGTAGCTTTCTATGAGGTTATTTAGATCAGACACCTCTTCGCTTGAATTTCGAAATTTCAGTTTTCAAATATCGGCATGAACTTGAAGTGACTTGCGGAAGTTGTTGGAAAAGATTCGAAAATTATAAGATATCTGTCTATTTAGGACTGGCAGTGTTAAACAAATAGCAGCAGGTTACTATTATGTGCATGCGTACAAAAACAAAGTTTTACCTTAGAAATTAGATGACATTGAAACTAAGAGCACCTTTTCTTCTCTGAATAACCAGATCTAAGAGAAGACAAACAATTCAAACTAGACTACCCCGGAGCATGCACTATTTCAACGGAACAGGTAAAGTACCATTTTTTTTTCTTCGTTGGCCAATGCAGTCGTCTCTACCGATTAACAGTACTTGAAATCGTGTATGTTTGTAAATGCTGCGAAAGCAATTCATCATGAGTGAGGCAATGTACTGAGGAAACAGAACATGCAAACTGATAATAATTGACTGACATTGCAAGGACAAGTTCATGTGGCAATGGATATTCCTGCATCTTGCAATTTCAGAAAAAGAGGACCAGATTAACTTGCAATAGAAAAACAAAATTAATTCGGGCATTTTCAAGAAAAAAAATGCTTCTTTGTGTTCAGCCTCTGCATTTCCTTAACTTGCAAGTGTTCCAATAAGTACATTTAACTAGTTTCCATATCCTCTCCGTTATATTTAGAGCAACCAATATAAATTTCTCCATTGGTCGATCGGTCAGGCTCTTTTCTTTTACCAGTTATGCTATTCGTATGATTTCCTCGATAAACAGGGTGAAGAACTAAGGAAGCAAATTGGGGCTTTGGCATATGTCGAGTGCAGCTCGAAGACACAGCAGGTCAGTCTCATTAAGTGGTTGCAAAATGAGTCGCAATGAGTTCTTTACAACCTCAAGCATATTATTGTGTTCATCATGTGATAAGGAATGAGTTCATCATTCTGTAGACTTACCATAGTGGAATGCACGATAAGGAATAATGGTGAAAATCCGAGATAACCTCTCGAATGACACTTATTCGTGTGAGCAGCTATTTCAAAACACTTGTGTTTCTTTTGTCCTTCACTTTGTTGACTAAAAGGCAATAGAACCAATTTTTAGGAAAATTTCATGTGGAGGAAACATGCGAAGAAAAACATCCCAAAAAGTTTTTGAAGAAGCACAACCATTTTCATAAGACACGGTGATGAATATGTCGTTCCATCCTAGTGCATGGTTGAAACTAAAACCTGAGCAATCTTTTTCTCTGGCCAACGTGCAGAATGTGAAGGCCGTGTTTGATGCGGCGATCAAGGTGGTTCTACGGCCTCCTAAGCGCAAGAAGCAACAGAGACGATTGAGTGTTTGCCAGATCCTTTAGACTTACCCTTGAAAAGCTGCGCCAGTGTTTGACTCCGGTTGAAATAACGGTTTCAGTTTTCACATCTCTGTGCATATTTGATATCCTCAATCTTCCTTTAACCTTTGCAAGAGTGCAATCTTTTGTGAGTGAATTGAAGCCGCGAAGGCGCCTTTTCTTCTTTCTTTTCTGATGCATAATCTATGACTTTGCGAACTTTAATTTCTGTTTGCCTATGTGGTTGTCAAGTCTGGTTGAGATTGTAAATGTATATACGCATTATGTTTGGTTATTGTTCCTTTTGTGATGGGCATAAAATGATCTGTTTGCTACACCTACACATCAATTGGTGCTTCCTGAGTAGGAAGTGGATTGATTGTTTGAACCACCTCGGGTTTGGTTTTTCATCTAGTGATCGTATTTGGGTTTTCCTCTAGCGATCCTATGAAGACATTAGAGATGGCAAAATGGGTCATAAGCCCATTTTTCAACTCAAATTCAGTGGGTGGAGGAGACGTTCGTATCGATGCCCGAAAATTTGGGGCTTATGTTGCCCAACAGAAATTAAGTGGACAGGTTATTGCTTATTGGATTGAAACCCCATGTAAAAAGGGGACTACGTAGGACGATTTACCCTTCTTGGAGCCAATTCTTGGTCAAATTAAGCTTAAAACTTTACAAAGTTAATTTATTTCCACCAACATGTCAACTCATTCCAGCTTTAGACAAAGGAGTGTTATGCACTTTCTCCACCTAATGATATAGGGAGACTGGTAAAGAAGAAAAAACACGATAAACGATAGTAAGTGAAACGACTAACATCTCATCAAAAAGGAGGTAGAAAAGTTACAAACATAAAATGTTAAAAAGTTTCCCGTTATGTACCAATAAGGTGTGAATGGAATAGTATGGTTCAGGTCCCCACTGATACCGGACCCCGGACCGGACCGGACCGGACCCGGACATGATTTCTTTTTCTTTTTTTTTTTGACTTCCCCCAAGACGAGACCTGCATGAAACACCAACCGAAAAAACAGATAAAAGAACGGTTCAAATCAGGCCGGGTTATCGATTTTCCTTTTTTTTCCCCTAAAACTGCATAGCCACCTTTGATTGTCTCGACCCAAATTTTGGTGAACGTGGTCGTGCCAAAACTCCAGGATAAAAAACTCTGAGCCTCAATCTCTTATGGTCTTCAATGCTGTGTCTAACAGCGAAAGATACTGCACTTAACACCTGATCAACGGTAGGAATCTCCTGATTATGCAATATATC